GGTAGCGCCTTTTCGCTTTATATCCTGATTGAAAGCCTAGACTCGCGCACACATGCACGCGCGTGAACAGTCACACGCACGCGCGCACACAAATTACAATGGAACAGCCCAATACAGCCATCGTGACAGTCTGGTTGCATATTCAAAAATTCATTAAAAATCATTCTTAAAAGTTGAGTGCAAGCTTTCAACACAATCCTCTTCTCGGACACCTACTTTACCTCTGGGCCAGGTTTTACCCAGATTTACTGTAATATTACTCAGAAATCACAGTAAACTCATATTCAGTGCAATACAGTCAATACACTACAATTATGTTTATTTCAAAAATTCATTAAAAGTCATCCTGAGTAGTTGATGTCCAACTTTCAACACATCCCTCCTCTGGGACACCTACTGTACCTGTGTGCCAAGTTTCATCCAGATTTACTGTAGAATTCCTCAGAAAATAAAGGAAACATTTATTCACTCTAATACAGTCAGTACAATAGAATTATGTCAATTTTCAAAAATTCATTAAAAATCATCCTGAGTAGTTGAGGTCCAACTTTCAACAGATTACTTCTCTGGGACAGGATGATTTTTAATGAATTTCTGACATTTCCATAATTCTATTGACTGTATCATTATATCAGTATCAGCTGTATCAGCTGTTTCATTGTAATTTGTGTGCGCGCATGTGCGTGCGACTGTTCGCGCGCGGGTATAGGCTTTCAATCGGCACATAAAGCGAAAAGGCGCTACCGTAAAGACTGGTGTAAAAGCGCAAGGAAATTTATGCGGCGGATAAGAGGCGGCTGGCTTGACCGCGGCTCACAAATGACGGCTCACTTTACCGCGGTTTCCTCCCCGTGGCTATGCTGTGTCACCACCCACTAGTTATGAGACAAAGCCCAGGGAGCTACAAGACCGACTTATTACAGAAATGTCTCCTGTTTCTGATTCTTTTCTTTTTTCCTCCTCCTCAGTGGCTGAAAGGCTGAAAAGCCTCCGAGTGCAATGAGCTTAATGTGAACTTGAAAAAGCTGGAAAGTCAAACTGTGCCGTATCTGTTTAGAGTTTAGAAGGTGGATGGAGCGTCTGTCCGTTTAAACACACAGCATGACTTTATACACACATTAAACATGACACACGCACGCACGCACGCACGCATTGCCTCTCTTGTGTCAGAGAGCACAAACACTACAGCAGATAGTTTTGTAAAAAGGCTCCGTTGTCTTGCCTGCATGCTGCTTTTTGTTTTACATTGTACATAGATGTTAATTTATTTGACATAATGTGTATATTAGTAATCATTGTAGCCACTGACAATGATTGATTTCATACGTTGCCATTTCTGCTCCAGAGCAAACAGTATTTTGGAGGCGACGAGGAGATTTTTGATCGTTCACAGTCCCGCACTTTTCCCCTCCATGTGTAAATCTGTTGAAACGTGTTTGTATAAAAATAGAAGAAGAAAAAAAAACGAATCCACAAAGATGGAGAACGTGATCAGTCGTACCTTGTTGGTGATTCCTTCGTATTTAGATATAAACGGGGCTCGAGGAGAAGGACGAGGTGGGGGGACTCCAGCGTCCTCAAGCTGCGGCGCTGTCCGTACATTTGTGAATGTGCATGGAAATATTGTGGACATCATATCTATCGTTGTTAGTCGCCCTGCAGAGTACCGTGGGAGGGCACAGGACGAGATCCCAGTCCGGGGAGGACCCACACCACAACAACATGATACCGCTAAACTGATCCACCGTGTACTTCTTGAATATCTGATCAAACTAATGAAGGATCTTTATTTGCTCACTGGAAGCATTTCAAGGTGCTTCGATGTGAGAAAAACAGATGTTTTAGTGATTAGTGTCTGTCTGAAATGTTCAGTGTGTGTAACCCGCTGACAAAAACAAAAAACAGGGTGATTTTGTACAGATGTTACACGATGATAAGCCCTGACATCCCTCTTTTCCCCCTCACGAGTGAAGGTTTTGTTTTCACTGCCTGCTGAAACCTTCACGATGTTAAAGTGCTCGATATCGATGTTGTTTGTACCCTTTTCTCTAAACTAGCTGAACGTGATAGTAACTGTAGTTTGGTAGATGGATGTTCTACTTTGATAAGATACTTTAAAATTGAAAAA